CCCAAATGGGTTCCAGGTAAAGTCAATGTGGCCACCGTGATGTTGACCACAAGGCCCACAGAGTGCCAGCTATTCTGTCAAATATAGGTCCAGCCAGTTAACCCAATAGACCTGAAGGCGTGGGGAAAGGCTGCTTTGATTTAAATCTGATGGATGATCAAGTCTCTCTCAAGAGGGTGGTGCTGGTCAAGTCTCTCTCTCAAGAGGGTGGTGCTGGTCAAGTCTCTCTCTCAAGAGGGTGGTGCTGGTCAAGTCTCTCTCTTAAGAGGGTGGTGCTGGTCAAGTCTCTCTCAAGAGGGTGGTACTGGTCAAGTCTCTCTCTCAAGAGGGTGGTTCAAGAGGGTGGTAATGGTCAAGTCTCTCTCTCTCTCAAGAGGGTGGTACTGGTCAAGTCTCTCTCTCTCAAGAGGGTGGTACTGGTCAAGTCTCTCTCTCTCAAGAGGGTGGTACTGGTCAAGTCTCTCTTTCTCAAGAGGGTGGTGCTGGTCAAGTCTCTCTCTCAAGAGGGTGGTACTGGTCAAGTCTCTCTCTCTCAAGAGGGTGGTACTGGTCAAGTCTCTCTCTCAAGAGGGTGGTACTGGTCAAGTCTCTCTCTTAAGAGGGTGGTGCTGGTCAAGTCTCTCTCAAGAGGGTGGTGCTGGTCAAGTCTCTCTCTCAAGAGGGTGGTACTGGTCAAGTCTCTCTCTCAAGAGGGTGATGCTGGTCAAGTCTCTCTCTCAAGAGGGTGGTGCTGGTCAAGTCTCTCTCTTAAGAGGGTGGTGCTGGTCAAGTCCCTTTCAAGAGGGTGGCGCTGGTCATCTCTCTCTCAAGAGGGTGGTACTGGTCAAGTTTCTCTCTCAAGAGGGTGGTACTGGTTAAGTCTCTCTCTCAAGAGGGTGGTGCTGGTCAAGTCTCTCAAGAGGGTGGTGCTGGTCAAGTCTCTCTCAAGAGGGTGGTGCTGGTCAAGTCTCTCTCAAGAGGGTGGCACTGGTCATCTCTCTCAAGAGGGTGGCACTGGTCATCTCTCTCAAGAGGGTGGCACTGGTCAAGTCCCTCTCAAGAGGGTTGCAATAACCAGTCTTATTTTGTCAGCAAGGATTCAAAAACTGGAGTCAGAAGTTAAAGGGACCAAAACATTTGTGAAAAGGCGGACTGCTTCTGAAGATCAGAAGTCTCTAGTTGTGTTTGCTCCTCTGCGGAGTACCTTCTGTGGATCAGTTTTGTGTACAGTGTGTCAGCAGTACTGATTGTAAAATATGTATGTACAGTGATCCTGTGGGCAACCCATTTTCACAAATGTGAGTTGCGTGGTGTTGGGGGGAATGTAAGAATCATTTGTGCGCTTTTAATGAAACATTGTACAAGTTGGTGTTCATTTATGTTAGGTTGCTCCTGGTGGTGTCGCTCCATGTCTTGTGTGGTCTTCATTATATTTCTTCAGCATGGCAGTTGGTACCAGGGCATTCTCGTCAGGTGGCCAAATCATCTCATTTGTCCTAGTCTTCTAATTTGTTCATTCCTGATTTCATCTCTTTTTGTCACACCCGAAGAGGTCAACTTACTTATAGAATTCTACATTGATGTTGTTCTTCTTTCCTTTATGTCCTTTAACACCCTCTGGGAGCAGAGGCCATACAATGTTCCTTTTATAGTCTTTTTTTTGTGTGGATATTTAGGCTTTCCCTTTTTTTTTTTTTGCAGTCTCCCTTAAAAAGGAGATTGTACATTGTGTTGAGGTTTACCGCTAGGCTACAATTCTGTGCCTTTTGACCCAACACATCCAATTTCAGCAAACAAGGAAATTTGTCACTCGAAACGTCACGAAAGTTTAGAGAGAACAATAGAAGCTATGGGGGGACGGTGGCGACCTTAAACGCACAATCCTATTTGTGACCCAGAGGGGACTCAATGTCTAGCATGACTGATGTCGAACGCAGAAGAAGAAGATAGAACAATAATACAGGGGTATATGCCTATATGCATAGAAATGAAGCCCATATCAGGTGACCTACTGCCATGGAGTTGGCACTATGACTAACCCCAAGTACACAAAATTCAAGACAGGTGTATCAGCCATATGCACCTGTGAAAAGTTGACCCAGACAGCAAAATATGTACCACATGACTGCAATGAATACAGCACATTTAAGCATACAACTGGTACTAAACGACAACTTACATAACAAGACTTTGAATAAACAGTATTTTATTAACGTTGGTGACATAGTAAAATGATATCAAACTGGACAAACATTAAACCCGGCTGGAAAACCAGGCCCACCTTATCACTGCATGACCTAACAATTCTACTGGTCCTATGCCAAAGCCGCCTATATGCAACTGGGTAAATTTGTAGGTCTCTTATTTGTAACTTTATAATATGTCAGGACACACATAAGGATTCACACCCCACCAAAAAGGTCAGGTCAGAATGAAATGGTAATTTCACTACTTCTTTCTCAGCATCCCGAACACTAGAGGATCATTGCTGTAGTTATTACCCGCCTCCATTCATCTCTCTGATTGGCCGTCTTTCCAGTTAGTCACAGCAAGTGTTTGTAGGTCTGTCTCGATATTATCTCTCCATTATCTTCTTGGTATGCCTCGTGGTCTACGACCACTCACTCCTCCTTGTATGCGGTTTTTCTTTCTGTCATGTGACATTCTCTTAATATGTCCCAGCCATTGAGTCTATTAGTCCTCATGATACCAGTGATCAGTGGAGTTGAAACTAAAAAGTCAATAACTGATTACTTTTTTTTATTATTTACCCAATTAGAAAGAATCAAGATTTTCTCAAACAAGGATTTAGTTAGCACCAAGGTCATAATCATCATCAATTTTCACATGTGTTGTTAAATGTCATGGGAAGGAACCGTTTGTGATCCATTGCTTGATGGGTAGCAATGGCTGTCACCATTCTGTATCAATCTAGAAGGACAACCTCCAACTTTCACACTAGATCCTCTCATGTGTATGCCTAGGTTAGCCTAACGGTCTGGCTACATTCTTCTGAGATGACCAAACCATTCGACCTATATCTTGATAAATTGTGTGCATGGTGATGTTACCAATCTCTTTTCTCACTTTGGTAGATTAGAAAAAATAATAGCAGAAGGCATGGTACAAGGAAGGAGGGGCAGGGGCCGACCAACATGAAGATGGGCACAGGATATAAGTGACTCCTTGAATGTGAAAGTACAAACGCGGGAGACTGAGTTTCTTTCAGACAGACCATGATGGGAGTGGCAATCTGCAAAGGACCTGAAACATGATGATGAGCCTTTGATACTGTCCAAGTTTGGCACTGGTAGCAGAGTGTTGGCATGAATATGCTGTTTATAATCTGTTCCTTGGCACTCGTGTTTAGATGACTCTGGGTGCATTTAGTGATTCTAGGATAGTGCCAACAGTTTCAGGACATGACAATCAACTTGCAAAACACAGGGAACAAAAATACTGTACATGAACTAAACATGCTTGCTGAGAGCCGAGGATGATTGCATTGTTGTTCTCTGGCTTCCTTGAACTTCCCTCAGATTTTTATCTCGGCAGATTTTTGAACTAGAAAGTAACTGTTGTGCCCGTTTCCGGTGTGGCAGCGTGCCTTTTCGCTGGCCTTCAATGTTTTGCATATTTAACTCTGTTCAAATTTACCTTAATCAAAAAACCTTTTATTACTGAATTTAACTTCGAGATCAACATGGCCCAGAAAGGGCACCAGGCAATACCAGTGTTTTAAAAAAAGGGACACCAGGCAATACATATTTTGTACACACAAAAACACGTCTGCTGGGAATAGAAATCAGGCACAGCAGTTTCTAAAACGTACTTCACTCATGTATAATAGACAGGGAAGAAGTTGGTTATAGTATATCCAACTCTCCTCGGAATGATGGGTCTGAATAATCGCATTAAAAAATACACCCTAACAGGATCTCGTTAGTGTGTAGAATTAGGAATATCAAAGAAAGATATAAACCCGAACGAAAATTATATCAGGGATGAATACATAAGGGGCGGGCGATAAAGTAGCATTAATTAATTTCCGGTGCGAACATACGAATATTACTATGGCAGGCAGCAGCAGCAAATGATCAGCTCCGACACACATTAGCGATTCTGTTCTATCGGCAGCTGAAGATGTCAAACATGCTGACTTATTTATAGTAATGAACGATAAACTGCAATGGCAGGCTACACACAAAAGGACTGTTCAAATGTTACTGGTGAGTATGTCCAATTGTTCCTGATCTTTATAACCGTGTTCCCACTTTTTAAATATTTCCAATTGAGGTCCTGTTAGGGTATATTTTTTAACGATAGGGCACGATACAATGAAACAATGACATTTGCGTATTTCAACTGAACTAATGTACTCCCGTTCACCTGCTGTAAACTTCTGGTTGTTTGTCCACTTCTGGACTCTAGTCCTGTTCCAGAACCTGAGTGTGGGAGCCACTCATTGTTACATCAACCAAAACAGAATGGGAGTTGTTAGCCAAACAAAAACACTTGAAGACATACCCGGGAGAAGATAGGAACACTTATGGTCATGTCCAACGAAGATGATCTTCAAATAAACAATGAACCTTAAAGATGTCACTATAATAAAACAAAGATATTTTTGTATTTCAAATGAACTGATGATGTATTCTGCTTCGTGCTGTGTGATACAGTGAAATATGTCAGACAATAATTGTACAATGCGTCCTCAATTATTTGCTAACTGTCAATTAGAAGAATTCACAGCAAATTAACTGTTAGTTAACCATATCCACAGCAAGAGATAGGCAAATATATCTTAGGAAGAAATTATTGCTAAGAAAGGAAGATTTATCCATCATCATCAAAGAAACATTGAAAAATAATAACGGTAAACATGAACATAAGAAAAAATGAACTTGTTAACAACAATTCCTCACTATCTACAAAATACCACAGCCACATTTGCACACGGCACAAACACTGGGGTTGTGTTCACCCAGGGTGACTGCCTTAGGATCTTGACCTTCTTGGCGTCAACTCACATCAACGTCTTCTTTGCTTTTGTCTTCATCGTCATCTTCTTCCTCATCGCTGTCGGTCTCTGTGATATTGTTGTCAACTCTGGCTCTGATGGCTTTCAACCGGCGGGACAGCGATTTGAAATCAAATTTTGGGCGGGTGTCTCCAAAAGGATCCTAAGTAGAACAGAAACAGGCTGACAATTTCTACCTGGTTTAGAGTTACATAACTTGAAATGAAAGAAGCTAGAGTGTGGTGCTGGGTATAACATACTGAGAACACTTCTTAACATGTAGTTTGGAGGAAAGTTCTGGTTTTACGTCAATTTGTGCCGGAATCTAAACTGTGTGCACATCCTCTAACAGATCTGTCTTATTCTTTTGCTGAACACAGGTTCCCTACTATGCAGGCAGATTCTGACTTTAAAGGAAATGCTCCTAATTAGTCGCATTTTACGACAGGCCTGTGATGGGGGCATGGGTCTATTGTCTGTTGCAAAACAAGGACTGGAATCCAGGCAAGGACACTGAAAACTAATGTGTGTTTATGTTTTTGGCTTTGTCAATACTGCAGTCTGTGTCTGTTTCATAAGGGAGAGTCAGAGACTCTAGAGTGACATGGAACTGCGACTATCTACCATTACCTCATAGAAGACTTCTCTCTAACATATAATGACAAGGATTTATTCTATAAGAACCGCTTTGTTTCATATTATATAATGCAGATTGTCTGAAACTCCTATGTTCTTTATGAATTGAACATATTTCCACCTGGTGTTAACTATTTACTGTTGTGCAACCTACGTAGCGATTCAAGTATACATCTGTATTATGTATAATATTGGCCTGAGATCTATGGCAGTGTTAATCTGCTCCCTCTATACCACATTGTTCATAACTAAAGTCAGACGTGAGAAAGTGGCTCCTATTACTATTAACTTTTATATTAAGAGGCAGTTACAGCCCATTAGTGAAAGTAATGTTGTAGATGACTGATAAAAACATCATAGACATGGAGAACAAAGTAATGACATTAACATACAAAGAGAAGTATCTACCCACATAAGAAGAAAACACTATACATTATGTAGTCCTCTGAGGCGTTGCGAGTCCGACTCGTAAGCCAGCATACCGCGATCGAAACCCACCGCAGGCTGCGTGGATTTGTGTCGTGGTATGGGACGTCGCAGGTCGACCCAGCCTAAAATGGGTACCAGGATGGGCTGTCCTGGGAAAGTAAAGACAGCCGGCGTAATGCTGACCACATTACCCACCGAGTGCTGATGGTCTGTAAAAATATGGGACGCTCTGCCCATATGCCTGATGCGCCGAAAAGCGTGAATAGGGAACTTTACTTTTACTTATCATGAGAGAGAGAGACTGAAGTACACCATGATGGAGGGAAACAAGGCAGAGAAGATGCTGTTTGACATATTGGCATGGAAGATAACAGAGAAGATGCTGGACTGTTTGACATAATGGCACAGAAGATCATGAGTGCAAGAAATTATTAAAAGTACACAAGGTAGAAGGTTGCGGATAGATATGAATCCCAACATCACAAGATATGAAGGATGATCTGTGTAAGAAATGAATAAACGGTAAAGGAGAAAGAAGGTTGTAGATTATATGATTACCAACAAGAAATGAATAAAGGTAAAGGAGAAAGAAGGTTGTAGACAACATGACTACCAATAAGAAATGAATAAAGGTAAAGGAGAAAGAAGGTTGTAGATAACATGACTACCAACAAGAAATGAATAAAAGTACAGGAGAAAAAAGTTTGTAGATAACATGACTACCAACACCCTTCTAGGCATGGACTATGAGAAAAAAGTAAAGACAGATGGTGCAATGATTTCTACTCACGTTCATCTCCATGCCGTCCATATGCTGTAGACTCTCACACACCTGCTGGTAATACTTGTAATAATCTGGGAACGAGCTCTCCATCACCGCCCTGCCAACAATACAAAGCAAACCATTACTTCAACAATCAAGCTTTATTTTTTTTCTTTAATTCCTCTTCCAGTCCACAATACATCAACAATCAAGCTTTACTTTTTCTTCAATTCCTCTTCCAGTCCACAATACATCAACAATCAAGCTTTACTTTTTCTTTCATTCCTCTTCCAGTCCACAATACATCAACAATCAAGCTTTACTTTTTCTTTAAATCCTCTTCCAGTCCACATTACATCAACAATCAAGCTTTACTTTTTCTTTAATTTCTCTTCCAGTCCACAAAACATCAACAATCGCTTGATTTTTTTCTTTATTTCCTCTTCCAGTCCACATTACATCAACAATCTTTATTTTTTTTCTTCATGTTACGAACACAAGCTGTCTTGAGACAACAGACCACCCAAACTAAAAGCATGACATCTTCGTCTGCATAAGTCATGTTGAAAATTGTGTGAAATCTGTATTTTATGACCCAGTTCCCACATAATCTGATAACCCACCTCAAGGTATCAGGAATTCGAATACCTCCCTCTATCATATCGCAGACGGCCACTCGTAGAGTCTCATGCTGAATGATATCATTGTAATGTTTGGAATCACCGGAAGTACGCTCCTAGAACAGAAAAAAAAGAGTACAAGTATGATTACAGTAATCTTCATTTGAACCCACTTCTTCACTTCAATTAACTGGTCATGCTATATCCACAATTTTGCCATTAGTAGGTAGCCTAACTTGTCCTCCATGCCAATACAAAAAGCCACGTTTTAATTTAAAAATATGCACAAAATGGTACCAGATACCCCCGTGTGGGTTCCGGAGCTTCATTGTGGGGAAAACAAGAATAGACCCACTGCCTCCCCAAAAGCATGTCGTAAGAGTCGACTAATTGGGGAGCTTCCTTTGAAGTCGGAGTGCATCTGCCGGAGAGGCAAGAAACCAACAGTCTGTATTCAAGAGAATGAGACCTGTAAAACTGATGCACACGCAACACTCAGGTTCTGGAGCAGGACTGTAGTTCAGTAGTGGATGATCAATCAGAACTTTCCGCCAGAGTTTACAGCTGGTGAATGCGAAAAAGAAGAAGGTACCAGATACACCAACAAACAAATGCAAATTTAATAAAAGCTTACAAAAAGAGGGATCATTTTCACACCTTTGGCACATCAGCATGTGGTGGCGCTAGACCAAAAATTGCAATAATCAAGACTAATTATAAAAATTCCTCTCTGGATCTAAACTTCCCACACACACTAACTTTTTTCTAAAACCTCCAAGCCCAATAACTTGAATGGTAAGCGGCACTACTTTACACAGATCACTAATCAATTTGCTAAAATGTGTTTACATGTCCCCTAAAGCAAAAATCTGGATACATACACAAATAAGCAATAAACATGAACCTTTGCAGGGGCCCAAAAAAAATGTCATGATCCCACCACTGCTATTAGAGGCTACATAAAAACCGGAAGCCAACAGTTTTAAAAATAATTTGATTGACAATAAAATCTTCCTAAACTTATGTTTTTTTTTAGTAAATGTATTGGTATCCTTACCCCCTCAATACCTACCTAGTAGGGGTTTTGCTGTTTTTCTCGGCAATAAAGTTAAAACTGTTACTGCATAACAGACTGTGTCCTCAGCTGCTCAGATTTATCCCACATTAAATCCCTTTATTTGACCCGAACCATCCCCCCCCCCCCCAGTCTACTGCATCCTCATTTCGGACTTTCTAAAACTCAGTTACTTTGAAACTTCTCCCAGACTTGTTTTACACTCACTGGCTTCTAGGACTTCCTGAAAATCAGGATTCTTGCAGAGTTTTTGCACTGCGCTGAGATTCTTCATACTCAGACTTGAGTCAGAAGTAGAGTGGAGCACTTATGGGTTTACACCCGTGGACCATGATGTTAATCAGTCAACTAAGACTTCTCCCGCATCAAGCCACACAAACACTTACTTCATCTCCACTTGCTTTTAAGACCTCAACACCTAATCCTTTCATTGCATCTCTCACTTCTCCCAAGAAGTGTTCTTCCAGATGTTTGCACATCAGCTGCTTCTAGACCTCTCCCTCACTTGTTTATGTAATTCAACACACAGCATTTCTCACATCTCGCACTCACGTACATGTTTGAAACCTGGCTCGTTGTGATAAGGTTTCTCATTCATTAGAGACTGGATGGAAATGAGAACTGTAGACAACGTCTGAGCTGGACTCCAAGATGGCCCTGCCCAGGTCCTGCAGAAGAAACATTACCCAATATTAGACTTCGACAGTCTTCCCCCCATCTGCTCATCGCGTAAACTAATTTAACCCTTTGATCCAGCAAACTAAGAAAAAAACCAAAGGCCCATATTCTTGGAACTTCTATTAAAAAATTCCAATTTCCAATTCTGTCGCTAAGTGTAGTGGGGAGAAACAGTTTGTGATCCACTGCCTCATGGACAGCAATGGTTACTGTCATTCCGTGTCAGTGTAGAAGCCCATCAATCTGTCTTCGACTGGGGCGACTTCTTGCTTTGACTGACTTCAGATCTTTTCATCTGAAGTGCATGCATGGGTAGCTGTCTTGTCTGCATTCTTACTAGATGACCAAACCATCTGATTATCTCCATTAAAAAATATTCCTTAAAAAAAAATGCTTTACACAGTTCTTACCCACACACACACAAAAATCACCACAGATCCATCCATGGACCAAAACAATACTTAACTGCATAAACTACTGAAGTAGTCAGTTAACATAAATGGGGCAGAGAACTCACTAGGTTACACCTCTCTGGCATTAAAAAAAAATATTTAGCATGGCTGGTTCTCGACTAAGTGCCCCAGCAGCTCATTACCGCTGTAACTGGCAGGAAATCCTAAAGTCACAATTTTAATAAATGAAGCCAACAAGGAATACCCCCTCCCTTTAGAATTGTATTTTAAGCAACCATGTCCGTACCCTGTCATAAAAAATAGTTCAGAAAACGTCATGTAAAAAATGCCACTAATTCAAGAAGCAGTTAAACTACTATTTCTGATTTGCTAGCTGTAAACTACATTAGAAAGTCCATATTTGTATTTTAATCCTATTGCAAGTACATCTGCTTATAGATCTGGCTTATATGTGTGCAGACTGTCAGTTCATGGCCACTCAGAAAAGGAAATGATCCTATATATGTCAGCCAGCTCACATGTGGGGACCTGTTTCTAGGATGATTGCAGAGGAGAAGTGTAGGCAGCAGATGACCAGTATAAGCTCTCATCCTGGTGTAACACCACCAAGTGTGGTACCCCACATCTGCATTCCTTAGTCACATTTTAATCCCATAACTTTTCAACTCAAGGTAGCATTACAAACTCTCAACCATACTTCCAACTGCAGAAATGCAATAAATCACTCAATACTTTCTTCTAAGGAAAAAACAATGAAACTTTACCCTAATATGCTCAGGCAGACTTTGCCATTCTTGTAGAGGTTTGGGTTGAAGCGAACAGTTCCATTGCCTGTCGTCATAAGTCGGACTCGTGGTGGACTTATTGGGTAGTCTGCCGGGAATCGGATCAGGAAATAGAAAAATCCACCCTCGTATGGTGTATCAAACGGTCCAGTCAGCAAGGCATGAATCTGAAAGTCCAAGAGAATGCATCTGAAAATTGTGGAATTTCACGGGTATCAGTTGAGTCAAGAAATGGCATCACAGAACAGAACTCCAACACAGAGTTCCAATTCTAATGGTGACGGTCTCAGTCTGGTTGTATGTCCGTCTCGCCTTGCCTCTAAGCCTAGTGTATTTGCCCTCTGGTCACTCTCAGGTGAATCATTCTCTCCAGCCCATAATAATCTAGTTTTTCTTCTGACTTTATTACTTGTTCCCAAAGGGCTCTGACATCTGCCTTGTCATGTATCAATTCACCACTCAGCAGGGTAGACTGGATGAAGTTACAAATCCACAGAGTGAAAGGTGAGACATGCATAAGAGGTAAGGAGTCACACAGAAAGTATGCAGAGAGAAAAAAGTAAACATAAAAGGTAGAAACACACAGAAGACAAAGAAGGTATGCAAAGAATGAAAATAAAAGACATCTGCCGTGGATAAGGCACAGACAATTCTTACCTTGGTGATATTATTTGGGTCAGGCATGACACACAGTCCAGGGGGTGGGTCTGAATATATTGCCAGGATGTCGCTGAAAATACAAAATGTCCAGTTATCACATTGATTGTATCAGTAAGTTGCCTGCAGAACACTGTGCTGTTGCTATTCCTCATCTGTCCTACTCATGGTTTCTGGACATTTTACCCAAAAAAAAAACTTGTTTAGTTTGTGTTGTCATACTGAGTTTCAGTAGTGTATTTTACTACCACCATCCATATTTTCTGGGTCTACCTCTTGCCTTGTAGCTGCTGTTCTCGTGTATGCTCTAGCTGTTGGCTGACTTTTTTCCACTGACCAGGCCATTTAATTCTTTGATGTATTATGAAATCATTCACCGGTACTGTGCCTACCATTGTTCTTAGTTGCTATTAAACCTCATTTAAACGAATATTACAACAATCTATTCAGAGAATCAGCCTCCCTGCCCCAATTACATCCAAATCAGTTTAAACAAACATCTCAAACTCAACAAGCCTATTCCATCTGACCCTATGCTACGAGTGCCAGACATGGTCATTCACACAACAAACCAGAAAACAAAATCTAAAATCACAGAACTACTATGTCTGAGAAGAGCTGCAGGAGTGACTAGAAGAGATAACACCTGGAATGAAGTTATAAGAGAAAGGCTGGCAAAGAATCAATTTTAAATTACATACAAAGGCATCAAAGGTGACAATTAATTATAGGTTTTTCTTCAAAGTCAGAAGAAGCGAAGAAACTATAGTATGCACATAAATAAGCCAACATTCAAGTTGTGAACTAAAGTTCTAAAGTGGACATAGAACCACAACTTTCTGCCAGTTTACAGATGGTTACAGAAAGTTATATAGAGGAAGGAAAGATCCCAGCTTGTGACTTACTTTTTGATGCGTCGAATGCAGGCCGGAGATGGGGGTGTCATCACTTCACTATCTGTGGCATCATCTGGGTCCCACTTGGCGTTCAAGAAATCTGGCATTGCCCCGACATTTTCAGCCCCTTCAGCGGCACTCTCCAACATCACCAAGCCCCCACTTGTGTCTCCTGCTGCAGAGTCTGTCTTTGTGCTTGTGTGATTACCTGTGCTTGTGCTTGCCTGTGGTGATGGGGCAGACCCGCTCCCATTGGTTAAGTAGGTCGTCTTAAAGGATGACATCTGAACAGTCCTTGGCCTAGGTGGGCAATATAAAGATATGAGTATATAATTAATATTCATACTATTCCAGAAATTTGTCAATGTCTAATCAGATCTCACTGTGGGTCCAAATTTGTGTGGGTGTGGGGAGAGACTAGTTACCCTTTAATAAGCAGGTCATTAAAGATTACTAATTGAGGATCTGCTGAAACTGTATCTGAAAATGGCAAATACCGCAGACCACTATGTGCAAAGAAAAACTGTCAGGGGGTGAACACAGAGGGAAAAGACAAGCCACAATTAATGATTCAGTTATTCTTCTTCTTTTGTTTGTTTAAAATAAGTTATCTATATCTGCAATGCTGTCTCTAGTAGGAACTTCACTGTCTTTTGTAATTCACTAAGTGGCCTGTAAAGTTTGGCTTCCACAAGTGACTCTCTTGGCCAGAAGTTGTCTGGAAGTGTTGAATCTGGGACAGTCTTGGAGGATGTGATCTTTGTTTTAGGTGCCAGTCCACAGATACCTATGGTTGATTAGCTGATATTGAATTCTGTGTACATGTGGCAGCGAAGTCGATTGTGCAGGATTATCACTTGCTCTGGTTTGTCCATTTTATGTTAATCTTCTTGTGCCAGTTTCGGTGGCTTTCTTGTTGATTTGATTATTCTCTTTTTCTGTTGATGAGAGACTGGTATGTCAGGTTGTTCTTCAGTTGCACCTGCCTTGCTAGTTTATCGACTCAGTTATATTATGTTTCAGCGAGAGAATCAACTTCATCGCTCCAGGTTTTATGATCACGTTTAGCTTGGCCTCTCCATGAAACTGCCAGTCTTCTGCACATAGCAACACACAAACCACGACCCTCGTGGAGACTACAAACTGCAGAGTGACAGCATTAACAAACAGAAAAGAACAAATGTCTGTTCTTTGAAGCTTCATACAAGACAATACAGCACACATACAGAGGACAGGCATAGAAGAATCGACCACATGGAGCAGAGAGACAAGACTGTTGAGCATACTCACACATGGGAGGACTGCCCTAACTACTGGCACAGGTTGTGGATCTGATCCTATGCAGCTTCATTATAAGACTGATATCAGATGAGGAAACATGGAACATCTGGTGACCACTGGAAAGATTTGCGGAAAGAGAGATAGAGGAAGACAGTGCGAGAAAATTCTTAACAGCCATCTGTCATGATATGGAGGAGTGTTAACACACAAACTGATACATGCAGCTAGGGATTGTTGCAGCAAGGCATGATCACCTAAGCCAGTCAGCAACAGCAAGCCACTTGATGATGAATACTTTAAAGCACGTCACGATCTCTGATATGGTATAAAAGAAACAGTTCTCAAAAGTTAACACAACCAATCCTGATATACCGAAGCAAATATAGGCCACCAGTGTGGAAGTGGCAGAGTTGTGGTTTTATAGACGATGATGAGAAAACACCCTGGACAAATAAAAAATGTCTTGAAAGAAAAATACAGAAAGAACTGATTACCCACATCAAACGAAGATAATTTTTTGGTCATGCCACAAGAAGGAGACAAAAACTGCAGTACTGTTCACAACTGGGGTCAGCTACTTTAGTTTTTACTTTAAACACATCTCTGATTCATAAGCAAACCCTTAGTCATCTTTTATTACATGCTTTTTTTTTTAGAATAATAAATAATATATTAATATCATAAATAAATACAGCCCCATAACCCACATGGGATTGTTTGTGTGTGGCAAGATAATAAGATAATAAAATGTAAAGAAGTTATAAAAATTAATAAAAAATGCAACTCAACTTAAGTAGTTAGAAGAAAATTTATGTTTCCTAAGCCTAAACAGCCCATGCTAATCTACTGTGCCTCATGTCCATTATTATATCATGAATGGCAAAGACCTAATCAAACTAGACAACTATAGCCTATAACACTTGTGTGTGTTTGCAGAAGATCCAAACTGAACTCAAGGAAGTAGAAAAGAAGAATCGCTCGTCTTTCTTTTTTTTTTTTTTTTTGTAATTTAAAAATATACTTACTTTTGGCAGGTCTACTTGATCAAGTACTTTAAAAGCTTCCTGCTAGAACTGGCCCAAACACACTTGATAGTATACAGAGTCTGAATATACTGTGAGCTGATCAACATGAACAACATGCGGGATAAAACTGCTGATGATATCAGAGCAACATTGTCAACATCGCAGCGACACGGATCGACTGACTTCTGGTTACTGGTAAATGAAAACAACATTCCGTCATACCGGAAGTGGCGAGAGTCAGGAAAGTAAAAGTCGGAGATGGCGGTTTCGGTTTCTTTCGTTCATTTTGTCTTTCAAAGCTGTCAGTGCCGAGCAGAGCTCAGTATGTTAAATTGTGTTCTACCCAAAATATATATATTTTTTTTTACAATTCCTCCTGCCACGTTCGGTTCTTAAACCTACTCACTCTGCTCCAATTGTTACTCTAAGAGAAATCATTTTAACCAGTTTTTTTCCAGAGGAAAAATAGATAGACAGACAGACAGATAGATCCATAGCCAAATATATATATATATATATATATATATATATATATATATATATATATATATATATATATATATATCGAGAGAGGGGGATGGGGAGGGGGGCATATAGAGCTTCAGAAAGATATTAAACATGGAGGGTGAAACATAGGCGAACTTTTAATCATGTTGCAACTGGTACTATTAGCATATAGACTCTTCGCTGGTTACATAGGAAAGAGACAGAGCACGTATGGGTATCTCCTGAGAGCAGTGATATCAATTCTTGATCCATTCTTTATAGGGGTGGTCTGGAAATTGTTGGTATGTTGCAGCAGCGGGGAAAAAAAACTCGTACCGCCAGAATAATAATTAAAAAAAAAAAAAAAACAGCCCTAATTTTAACTTTGTTTTCATCTTAGTGTTAGTCTTTACTTTTTTGAGCCTATCGCGGCGCATAGGGCAGAGGTGACCGCTCTCCATGTCTGGCTTTCGTTGCCACCCTTTTTTAGGTCTTGATTCTGCGCGTTAATCGGATGTTAACTCTGGCGGAAAATGGTGGTTGTTCACCCACTTCTGTACTTTGGTCTTGTTCCGGAACTTGAGTTTTGAATCCGCGTCAGTTTTTACCGATCTGGCTAATCTGTATGCAGACTGTTGGTTCCTCCCCTCCCAAGCAGATACACTGAGACTTCGATGGAGGATTTAAACTGGTTCTATCAAAAGATTTATTTTATAAAGTAAACACTTTATGTGATAGGATTACTCACACAATTGATTAGTACTAAAATGAGCTCATAAAAATTGTTAACCAAGTTGGAACTTTTCAACGTTAAGCAAGGCGTTAGACGGGTATAAATGTACTTCCACCCGATTTATTCAGTCTGTACAGTGAAACAATAATTAGATCCATACATAGTTTACAAGGAATATCGGTTGGTGGGCATATTGTTAACAACCTGCGATATACTGACGATAAAGCTGAAAATAAAACACAACTGCAAAAAGAAAACTGACCATCCAGTATGCAATATCAATTTAAATAGGACAAACCTCAAGCAAGTTAATATGTTTAAGCACTTTAGTACCATGATAGTAACAGATAGAGGAAGTTAACTGTAGAAAAGCTCAAGCAAAGACAGCATTTTACAAAATAAAGAATATTTTTTCTTTGTCAGTTGAGACGAGAAAGAACATTCTTAAAAGCTATATAAATCCCTTCCTGATGTATGGAAGTCTTCTCCTTCTTAACGTTCACAGGCTGTAAACTCCCTGGAAAGTTCTGGTTGTTCGTCCAATTCTTGACTCTAGTCCTGTTCCAGAAACTGAGTGTTGCATGTACATTCGTTTAACAGGTCTGCCTCATTTGCATACTGACTGTTACGACATTCTTTTAGACAGGCAGTGGGTCTATTCTTGTTTTCTCCACTAATTTCCATTTTCGAAATAGGCATGTTGTGAAGTGTTAAGTGTTATAAACCATGCCTTCAAAGTGTTCAGTACCTTGAATTTTGGAATTGTGATACTTCCAGTGGATATGTGTTTAAATTGTCTATGGATGCTTAGAAGAGAAAGATAGCTTAAATTAGGGGAAACTATCATGTGTGAATCAAGAAACATCCACCAACAAGCCTCGCCCCAACAACGACCTGACTGCCTTCGTTAACAACTGTTCACCCAACAGCCATGCAGTTCTTTGGCACGAAGGAGACACCTTGAACTTGGGTTTCGGACTGCCGACTCCCTACACGAAGATATATGTGTGCTACTAGTGTCCCGTAGCCAAAATACTATCGCACTGTATTACTAAAATTCAGCACGCATTCTCAAACGCGCAGTAGTTAAAGAAAAAACACACACATATACATACACTCATTACCTGCCACCCGCTTGCTTGCTGGTGCAGCACACATGACTACATATTTATATAAGTATATATACACACATATATTTAGATCGGGAGAGGGAGAGAGTGAGACAAGTTAAGAATCATGCCGAATGACCACAAATATGTAAGACACTGACACAGGGAATTCCCTATGCACACAACCCCCTCCCCCCCTCCCCCAGGTAGTACTGGTAACTGGGGGTGCTTCTTCTTCTTCTGCGTTCGACATCAGTCATGCTAAACATTGAGTCCCGTCTGGAAAACAAATAGGATTGTGCGTTTAAGGTTGCCCCCGGTCCCCCATAGCTTCTCTCACAATGTGGATCCCCTTCTGGGGGTGCGAATCCCTAGGCAACACACAATGGATCTAGAGGAGCAAACCTCGATAAAAAAACACACACCCGGTACACCAAACCGTACTGCCCACTGTGGGATGGAAGGAGCCAGAGGGGTGCGGAACAGTCTTAGGGGTGGAAACAAGTATGCTAACCCCCTTAGTACAGGAAACTATCGTGAATGCACAAGGACTCAGGACGTGACGATCCAGTTGCCCCTAATCATGCTTATGCCATGCTTAGAGCCACAAGGAGCTCAGCGAAACCTACAGGCAATCTGGTGGCGGGGAATGAGCACAATGTGAGCCCCACCTCAGCTACGTGTCAAAGGGGAAGGCAGAAACACAATTCATATTTCCCTAAGAACTGACACAGGGCACTTCTGGCTGCTGTCTGGGAAGGGAGGTAATCCACAGACACCCAAGCACCATAGGCCAAAGGGCGAAAGCTCACGCGCCGCTGAATCAAAAACAACACATTTTAGGCACATGCACTCCAGCTTTGAAAGAAAACCCCTTAATCATTCGCCATTTAGAGCATGCTTATTTAGGCGGCAGTGGGTTGCTCTCCCCTTGCTCCTAAATGAGACCCTATTTGTAGTAGTGAGCAGAGATGGTTTTATGAATTTCAGTGAGGACTCCTTCTCCTTCCTCGTGTTCTTGAGGGTCTTGTAGAACAGTTTTTTTTATTTTCTCTTGCATTCCTTTCCAACTTTTCTTCAAACGCTTCCCATGATTTCTGTTTTGCTTTAAGTACGATATTTTTGGCCTCTGTTCTGAGTGTCACAAATTGTTTATATTTCTCTATTTCTTCAGCTGTGTTCCTGGCTGCCAGTTTTTACTTCCATGCCATTTCCTTTCTCCTATTTTGAATTTGACTTCTTCCGTCCACAAAAGTGTCCTATGTCCCCCCCTTTCACTTGGGACTTCACCACATGCGTCTACTGCAGCTGCTGTGAGGATATTCTTGAATCTGCATCAGAAGGTTTCAGTGTCCTCTGATGGTTTTTCATCAGTTCCTATTGCTTTCACTAAAAGCTCCTGGTATCTAGCCTTAATATCTGGCTCTCTTAGCTTATATGCCTTAATCCTCATCTCTTCTCGGTCGCTTGATTTCTTCATGCTTGTCGGTGTTGCCTAGTTGGAGTTATTTCAGTTGTTCTCTTTATTGTGACCAGATAGTGGTCACTTCCAATCTCTGGTCCTCTCATGACTCTGGCATCTCTCACAAACTTGAATGAACTTTTCCTTACATGGCGTAGTCAATTATGGATTTCTCATTCTCTGAAGGTTCTCGCATGTAAACGTTTGTGGGAAAATTTTGTGTTTGTAATGACAAGGTTCTGCTAGTGTTATGAATGAAAGGTTATACTGTCGGCAAGGCACTTGATATCTAATCATGTGCTCATTGGGAGAAACAAAAACAATATACTATAAGGATGATATTATTTGCATTTTGAAAGCCTAGTTAGATTTTAAATGTTCACCATGTTATTCATACTAAAAAATTGTATAAAAATTCTAAATGTGACATGAGAATTATTTTAAATTGTGAGGAACTACATTGTGTATCAGCACAAGTTACTGAAGATGTTTAACTCATGCGGAAGTTACTAAATATCTTAAAATAGAAAATGACGTCAATTGTTGGATTTTCCAAGTCTAAAAATACCAGACCAGCCAATCAACGGCCCGGAAAAAATGTTGAATCGACAGACGTCTGCACGACGTTTGGGCTCTTGGCGCAGGGATCTTTCGAAAGTAGTCCCGGCCAGCGACCGTTTGTGAAGAAGCCGTCCATTCGTGATCAGGGAGAGTTGACAACAGCAACCCGTCTCCTCGCTGCTTCTATACAAAAGTTTCTAGTTCTGTGTAGTCGCTTTCATTGTGTAAGTGACCCGTACATGGTACTGTTTAGATGTTGTACAGCCGACAGTTTAAGCCTGTTACCAATTATATATACAAAAAAAAAAAAAAAAAAAATCAGAGTCACTGATGACCCATGCTGGGTGACAACCTAGAATTAATTGAATTATTTTAGTCGCAATTTCATATAGCTAACATTTGCTATTAAAAAAGACGAAATTCGAACAAAGTTGCACTAATTATACAACTTTACTGCTAAGAGTAGATCAAGTAACGATTACAAACATTTCTTCGGATATCAGTTTTAAGTAATACATTGAAGCATGGAGACGCAAAACGTCCGTTTCCTGCCATTCATTGATAGCACCGAGTGTGACGATTTTGTGAATGTTGAGGAGCTTCTCACTGGCGACAACTATCCAAGTTTTTTAGTCGGCTCCGACGTTAGTTTGACAAACTTTAACATACTGGAGTCAGATGAGGTATTTTCCTGTGTGGAGGGACATATTTTGCACGCTGACAGTGACCAGAAAGAAAAAGCAGAAAGTGTTGCTGAGAAATCGCCCTGGCATGAGTCTGACAGTGGCGTCAGTGGCATGTCGGAAACTCTTAGCTTCTTGGGCAGTCCACCAGATTCTTATTTAGCAGTTACAAATGTAGGCAAGGATTTCCAAGAAAAGATAATCAAATGTGAAAGTGGTAATAGTTTGTCTTCAGAGTTTGAGCCGCAGACAAGTGATGAGCTTATTGAGTATTTGTTTGGTCAAATGGGCAATAAATCCACGACTGCGCCGGATATCGCGAAGAATGATGAAAATGCTACACCATTAAGTTCATCCGGGCGGCCAGTCCGCTTGAGTTCAAGAAAAAAAATGTGGGATGCCGACTTTACTTTGATTGACAGTGATGATTCAGATGAACCGAAACAAGATCGCACAAAACCAGTGTCACGTGCTGCTAAACCCCTAAGCAACAAAAATGAAGCGTCAGCACCATTCAGTCGGGGGAAAGTAGTAAATATAGTCAAAGTTCTAAAGCCACATTGTTCTGATGCCACGGATGATGACATAATACATGCTTTAGATGATAGATCAAAGAAGAACGCCCAGCAGGCCAAACTGAACAGGGAAAAGAAGAAGGCTTACATAAAAAGTTTGGAAAATGATCGAGAGCATCTTCTGAAAGAAAACACTGAGTTATCTTCGCAGTTAGAAGGCATGACCAAAAAAATGCAGAACCTCGAAGCTGAAGTTGATTATCTGAAGTCAGTGCTCGCAAATTCTAGTGCATTGTCCGGGCTTCTTAAAAATATCAGCAATGTCAAGGAAGTAAAGCTGACCTCATCTTTCAACAGCCGTAAGAGGGGATATGCTAATGATCACTCGTATAATCTCGTTGATGGAAGAGGTGTGAAGAAGATAAAAGAAGATTCAACAAGAGCTGGTGTCTGCTTACATGTCAACGATGGTGCGGCATCCCTTGAATTTTGTGCGCATTGTGCTTCACTGTCGCGCAGAACACACAGCTACAGTGACTTATCGTGAAATTGGTAGAGAAGCGAGTAACCCATTCTGTTTCGTTCGACACAGAAATCAAAATAGACCTAAGCTGGCCTTTATTGAGGCTACTCAATTAATTGAGAGTGTAGGTTATAAAAATTGGATAAACTGTTAAGTGTCAGCAGGGGGAAAAAACTACAGGCCAGTTTTGTGTGTGAAATTGATTCGTTCGGAATAGGAATGTTTTGCCGCTGGTCTCTTATCACCGAAAACACAAGCAAGTGAAGCTTCCAGTTGACCTGCCTGATTGTAATTATTGTATTCAAATAATGTATATATAAAACATTCAGGTGCTTATTTTTTTACCCCCTACGATGCTTTCAACCAGATTTTTTCCATTTTAGGTACAGCCGCCTCTTTGATCTTTGCAATGTTGCTATGTGTGAATTGTCAGTTGCTGGTTTTAGAACAAAGTTGTGGGGGTCGCAAGCAACTTTTGTTAAATATGGTAAGATGATTATATGTATAAATATTTATAGGATCATTACTGAGACTCATTGTGAATTCCTGAAAACACTAGAACCATTAATTTCTTTTAAAAGGGGGTGTGGGGGGGTTGTTGGAAATTGGTTGAATAACAGAATTTTCACAATATATTCTCAGCAATGATGATTGTTGTATCAGATAAAAGATGGTGATGTGTGCAGTTAACTTGGCTATCTTGAGTATACACTAGCACCCGTGTTGCCTTTTCTGTTGTACATTAGCACATGCAATGCTTTTCTTTTATAGCTTTGTCAGTACACACACTTAGATCATATAACTGACATACATATGAGAAGGTATTGCATTGAATAACTAAGAATCGAGTCTGGTGTGTCATCATGCTGTTTTTCTTTTTAGAATTTTCAGTAAACAAAAAATGTGTAAATCTGTAGCTGTCCCATCATCCTATGGGAAATTTGACAGTACTTAAAATGGCGACCTTAGTGGACTCAGTCCATTGTTTGTTTGGGGTAACATACTAATGTTCTTGGATGTTTAAAATAGCTTAAGGCTAAGGTTACGTCTAACCTTAACCTTAAACAATATTAAATATCAACATTATTATGTGACTCAACAGTCAATGGATTGTGTCCCATAAGGTCGCTGTTTTAAGTATTGTCGAATTTCCATATGATTATGTCTTCTATTTCTGTCTGAGGCAGTGACCAAATGAGCATACAAATATTCTAAAAGTAATATTAATAAATATTAGATTTCTGCCCTTACATAACTTTCACAGGGTAGGATGCTTTTCAGATATATTCAGCATGATAGTTACCTAAATACATAACCATACTGGTCAGTTTCTGGGGACAGGAGTGAAAGCCAAGAAACCGGATAATGTCCCCAAAAAATGCGTAGCAGTCTACTGGCAAACGGTGAAAAGATGTAGCAGCAAAAGGGTTAATATAAGATTTTGGTGATTTTGTTTTTTATTATGAGTCACAATTTAATGGAGCTTTGCCCATATACTTTAATAAAAAAAAAAGCATCTCGTATAACTGGGGTCGGCAATGTAAAATTTTTGATTGTGCCAGTCTAACAAAGATTACAAAGTGCTGCTATATTCCACAGTAGAAGCGGGTGAAGTCTGAATGGACAGATTGTTTAGAATATTTATATTTGTCTGATGTTTGTCAGGAGTCTGTTGCAGGTACTGATTGTCTGTCGTTTCTGTCACCAGCTTGCGGTGTGGACTGTGGGAAGGAGTCTGTTGAGGAAAGGTTGAATATGAAGTCATTGGGGAATTTAACCACAGCTGGGCCTCCTTGTGGCCTTGAGTTCTTCCATGACATCATCTGAGCTCTGTGGAAAGAGCTTATCCCACGATGGTAGGTACAGCGAGCTAGGAAGTTGCAGGCTGGCATGAGGTCACCCACAAATGTAGACTGGTCTTTCAAGTTTTAACTCGGGAAGGGGTGCTGTCTTTACTTCCTGTCATATCACTGTGGATGTTAGCCAGGGGTTGGTAAAGTTAATAAACTGTGAATGTTGGCATACAGCCATGATTGTATGAGAATGATGCTTTACTAATGAGCATTAGACACACGCTCTAGAGGTGAAAGTTCAAGCAACATTCATGTTGATTTAATTCCTTGCTTAGGCAATGGAATGACACATGGCTCAAACTACACACCGCTAGAAGCAACCTGTGCTGTTTGTGAGTGACCATCTTGACAGGCTGGCTTCCTAGCAATGACCAGTACTTGGTTAAGATGGGCAACTTTGTTGTAAGCTTGTATTGACCCAGGGTCAGTTGAGTGATGGAGTCTAAAAGACAAGTACTCTTTTGGTACCAAACTAGTTAAATGAGCTTTGCTCTGACACATGTGTTGGCAGGATCTGCTAGAGACTCATCGTGCTCTGTAACATGTTGCAATGATTTTCTTCTTTGTTCACCGGCTGTGAGCTCTGGCAGAAAGTCCTGGTTGTTCTTTGTTCACCGGCTGTGAGCTCTGGCAGAAAGTCCTGGTTGTTCTTTGTTCACCGGCTGTGAGCTCTGGCAGAAAGTCCTGGTTGTTCTTTGTTCACCGGCTGTGAGCTCTGGCAGAAAGTCCTGGTTGTTCTTTGTTCACCGGCTGTGAGCTCTGGCAGAAAGTCCTGGTTGTTCTTTGGCTTTGTGCTACGGCCTGAGTCTTGCATGCACATCTGGCTTATTTGTGTGCTGTTGGTTGTCGGACAAATCCACTCTACTCACTAAACATAGTTGAATAGTCCTGATGTAGTGTATGGCTCCTACTATGGTGTCTGTTCATGTGAATGAAATAACTGAACCGGAAGGAATATTTTGTGAGATTTCTTTCAGGAGTACACTCATTTGTTATCATACAGTAAAAGAGAGGAAACTTTTATAGGTATGCTAGGGTAAAAATCTTTACCCAAAGTTGCAGCCAATGTTTTCAAATACGCACATTCGTAAATCAGTTAAATTTTCTATATTATGCATTATGTCGTCGTTTAAAAAAAACAACTCGGTATCCGGTGTTGCTCCTGGCAGAGGAATTGGTATTTGCATGCTAAAATCTGGTGGCTGGACCATTTTATGGTCCAGTAGAGTGGTGTACTTACGAATGTTAAAAGTTGGTGGGATGTTTGAGATACACAAGACCAAAATTGTGGTCACCTGGAAAGATATTGAGCTGCACCAGATTGTTTATTGAGAAACTAATTTAGCGCACAGAAGAGGGATAAGGAGTCCTTTGATCTTGTCCAAGCTCATGGACTGGTTTGTGTAGGGGTCTTTTAGTTTCTATGGTATATTAAATGCTTCTTTTTTTGTTGTCTCGCTATCAGGTTGTATTTCAGAGCGAGATAGGTTTTTAAAATTATATTTGTCTTGTGCTTCTCATGTAGCTTTTTGCAGGTTTCGGCTATACCATTAATCCATTTCTTTCTTAATCTTACCCACGCTTCCCTCCCAGATATTCTGCTGTAAGAAAAATGCTGTTTTGTTCCGCTGCATTCTTATTAGATGACCGAACCCTTTCATTCTTTGTTTTTCAATATAATTGCCAATAATATAAATATTGTGAATAGAGATTTATTAACCTAAATGTCTGGGTTACTTGCTATGGCTTGTATTTTCCTCTGATCCGGCTGAGCAGAATTGTTTGTTCTTACAGTAATTCTTTTATAAATTCAGATAAACAGCTGTGCAGTCCTAATGCTCAGCACAGCTGCTCCTGTGTGAACTCACAGCATTCTGTGGCCATGTCATGAGGGAAATCTTGCACGTCACAGTGTCAGCTGGTAAGAGTGGTGGTCCTAGTGATGTTTTCTCTGCCAGTAATGCTACATTCATGACATTTTAGTACGCTGTTGATGCAGGGTGCAGACAATTTGATTTGTCTTTCCTAGACTTAACTAAGAATGATTCAGCAAGTTTTTGTTTTTAGGAACCAACATAATTTCTTTTCCTAAATCAATCAAAATTGAAGCTACACAATTCTTGTCTCAGGTAAGAAAGTGTCTACTCCTGTCATAAGTATTGGTTTTTTTCTTTCTATTTTAAATAGAGGGGAACATGTAAAATGACTAGTAAAAAAAATGGCTGGGATCAAGTGTTTGATTGACCTTTTATTGATTAACTTTGCATTATTTTGATTTATTTGCTGTCTTTACAAAAGCTGATTTTTCAAAATTGTGAATTCTCTAAATGCAGCAGGTTTGTCAAGACTGCTGTTGCTTATTTATAATATTGAAATTGTAGAAGTGTATACACGAAAGTGTCTTTTCTTTTGTGTTTCAGTGTGCTTCTATAGTTCTGAAACATTTCAGTAGTATTGACCTAAACAACACGTCTTAGTAGAATGGAACCATTTAACTGTGTGGGAGCCGCATGCAGGCACAGTAGGGCTGTAGGGAGATGGAGGTGTGTCTTTATGTCAAGTAATCTACACATGGTCATGCTCGTGTTTCACATTTTGGGGTTGGAAATTAAAACCCACATATAAATGTCTGATTTACATACAGTATTAGTAGGAGTGTTTTGAGGTAAATGATAATTGATTAGTTTTATTATATGTTGATTGAGCTGTATACTTTTTATACCATACCATTTTGAGAAATCAAACTGGTTTTGCTATCAACAGGAAGGGGTTTAATACACCACCATGTTTTACATTAAATGGCAGCCATTAGGGCTGTCTGCACATTATCTTCCTGATTGAGGCTGGACATTTGGTAAATCTGGAGTTTTTTTTTTCTTTAATTCTTTGGATTTTAATTAGACAAATTCATTTGTTGAAAAAAAAATTTGAGCAGTTTGTTTTTGTACATTTCAGATATCACATGTATGTGCATGTTTTTTTTTTCCAGTGTCCGTAAATTTATGTCTCAGTCCTCTGTTCATATTTCATAGGGGTATTTTTTGGTTACGGTAACTGTTGTTGTGGCCAGATATTTATTACATTGAAGCTTGTTTGAGGCTGTTAATTCTAGGCAGCTAGCTGAACACCAGGCATAAATACAAACAGCCGGGTCTGAACCAACCAGCTATC